AAATATTTAAGACTATATAACATGATGAAATTCTAATCTTCATTCATGTGAATGCCTGACTATAAAGAAAATACATTTTGCAACACATGGATGGATCCAGCATGATCTGGTAGGGTGGGGTGGGGTGGGGCGTGCTCTGCCAGCTCTGGTGCCGAGTTGTGTTGGTCATGTGTGCCGCCCGCCCATCAACTTGCTTCACTACTGCAAAGTCTTGCTTTACTACTGTATTTGAATTGTAATTGTTGTTCACAGCTCACTCATCATGTTATTACTCAAATTACTGCATCTCATTTTGCCTCTAATAATTTTTTGCTTTAATTATCATGAAAAATAGCACCCCCTCTGGCCAGGGATAGGGGGTGCACACCCCCCAGTAAATCCATCCCTGTTGCAACATACACTATAAGAGCTAGAATGATTGCTTCCTTTGGATGATTTGTCTTAGAATTATATTACCTATATTACAACAATTCTTCCTATTCTGAAACCAGTTGCTATTCTGTTTTTTACAACACTCACCCCTCCCCCCCCCAAAAAAAAGACTCAACAAATCAAGGACCCCCTCCAAGGCAATTTTGCCAGCAAAATAGATTTAATTTGATGGTAACTGTTCTGAGAATATATTAACTCATTGAGTGGCAGCATTCTGCCTAGACTTGCCACAAGTCGACCTCGAACGAAACGCAAGCAGCGAGTGTGAGCCGACGTTTCGTTCGAGGTCGACTTGTGGCAAGTCTACATTCTGCCCTTGAGTAAAATTGTCTGGCACCAGACGGAGTAATATACTAAAGTAGGGCACATTGCCACTATAAAGGGTTAAACAAATTAAAAAAAAATTTGCAATGGTCTATATTCAAAAAGCTCTATTTGTAAATTTTAATTGACTTTTATATACCTACTTATACTTATAGCTACCTTGGCCCAGTCACTTCAAGTGATTTCTACGGGAGGAGGGGGACATTAAAGTCCCTGGATTTACTTGGTAAAAGCAAGAATTGAACCATGCATTACATGTATATGGAGAGCAGCTTTAAATGTATTTTATTTTATCATGCAAATACCTTGATAATTGTTCTTAATTAAACATCTTTGGCTTAGAATGGGTACACCCTCGAAAAGTGTTTATTTACAGCGTCCAAAGGTGTAAATATACACTGTCCAAGGTGTTAATATAAACAACAAAAACAATGTATATAATTAACTTTTATTAAATAAAATGTGGAATATTTTACAAATTGCATTACCATCCCAAAGTGTACATAATTTATCAATATAAATAGGACTTAGAAGCTGTTCACATGAGTTTGACTCTGACCCAGCACCCTTGGCTAGCTCCCCTTGCCCGATCACAAGTAGAAAACATCCAACCCCCTCTGACAAATCAGTCCAGATCTGCCCAAGAGGCAGCATTTTCAGGAATATTATTAGCAGTGAAATTGTTGCATATTCTCAAGCATGCATTGTAACCTGATTTTAAAGCCTGTTTGAACATCGGACATTGTGGCAATGGCACGATGGTCCAGTCAATCATATGAATACAATCGTAAAATATCATAAAAACAATGCAATTTAAGGCCAGACAGCCCAACTCCTGCGAACAGCCCTTTATTACACATTCGAAGCATCTATTGGGGCATCAAAGTACAAGCATGCACATGGAATTACATATGAGTATGTGATATAAGCCCACCATTGCACAACTTTTTCTGCAACAATGCAGATACAATCAAGCTGGAAACGGATTTTATCAGTATTTTGATATATACATTATGGTTCATGTAGTCATGTCTAAAGACACCTGCATTTTTTGAAATTGTTCTAATATCGTCTAAACATAACACATCAGAAAACTGTAACATCAGCCAAATGAGCAAATATAGTTTTTAACACAATTTATGGTAAAATGAAGCAACATGTAATAGTATCTGAAACAAAACCAAATCACATATTATTCAAAAGTTGTCAACACTGTTGCATATATGATATAACAAAATATTGTCGCATTTCTAGTGGTAACTAACTATAAATTAGGCCAATTTAAACTCCACTATGAAGAATATCAAAAACTAAAGGTCATGTTTCAGTTTATAAACCCAGACTTTAGTTTTATAAATATAAGCATTAACGCTATACTAAGCCAATGAAGCCACATTTTGCCCTAAATATAAAATACTCGGTCAGAGCCTCAGAGGTTTGTTCTAGTTCACAATTAATCTTCTCTCACAGTTTAAAACAAACAATAATGCTAATCTACGACAAATTGTGTGTAAATCTTATCGAATTTAACCATTTTGCCACAGATTTTGCCAAAAATATTTCTTAAACGGACAAAGTTTTAACAATGGACACTCCTGACTCCTTGCGTGAAAATGTTAATTTATCCCAAAGTTTGAATAAATTAATCCGAGATTGCATTATTTGCATGATAATGTATATGTCATTGACCAATCAGAATACATAGAAGACCAGCCGGTGCCAGGGCCTTTTCCCGCCTTCCCAATGACAAAAAGGGAAAAGCCCTGGGAATGAGGTTGTTCTCCGCCTTCTGGCCAGTAAACTGCATATTTTTGCATAAAAAAACGAGGACACGTTGCACCGCTGAGGGGCCCTTCTGTTACTGATCTTTATTCTGTGTCTTGGGCATTCTAGAACGCTGTAGTTGTTCAAACTGCTATTTACTTCATTTTCACGGCGACTAATGACCTCGCCAACAGAGTAAAACGCTCAAATCATTTGGTGTGTTTTATGCGAATTCACTAATTACTATTGCTACTTTAGGGAATTTCAGGTCGGGGTTGTTTAAAAGAAAGATAATAATGCTTCAAAAGTTTAGTAATGCATGTTTTGGCTCGAATACAAACGTGGAAGTAATTTTGTCTAAACTGACTAAAACTATTCTAAAGCTATGGGCATGGACGCTTAGCTCCATGAGGTCGTAAAGACCCGCATGCCCTAGTCTGAATTTCAGACAGTCGCTAATTTCCGTATAATATTCATTTTTTATTTGGAAAGGCAATTATAAAACAGAAATAGAATGGAGGCAAAATTAGATGGTAATATGATTTTGAAATTATAATACTTTTTGTTTGTGGAAACACCGCGTAAATAATATTACTGCAAATGAATTTCTGATTTTAAAATTATCAACAAAGACTGCAGAGGAGTGCCTCGCTGCCATAGAATTAATGTTTGTTGTTTGTGATTACGTACTTGGTCAACGGCCAACCTCCTACCTATGCGCTTAAAAGTAAGGCAAAGCACGATTGCTGTTATATATAGATCAATAGCTTGTTTAATTGTTGGTTTATTTGGTCGGAAAACATCGGACGTCCGACCGGCAATCTTCCAGCATGAGCTCCACCTTTGAATTTACTATATGAGTAAATTCTTAAACACGTCCGAATTTATCATTATGATAAATTCGCGGCAAACTTTGAATTTATCATAATAATAAATTCGCGGCACCTAACACTAACCCTAACCCCAACCCTAACCACTAACGCCTAACCCCTAACCAATAACCCCTAACCCTACTTTAAAAATCTAACTTTTTAAACTTTTCTTGCTTTTCAAAACTCTTTTAAAACTTTTTAAAACTTCTTTAAAAACTATTTTTTTAAAAAAATTGAAAAACTTACCACCCCTGCGCGGGAAACCTTGTGCAATGCTTGTGGTTTTATGATTAACTCTATTGATAAATTCAAAATGTGCCGCGAATTTATCATAATGATAAATTCGGACGTGTTTAAGAATTTACTCATATAGTAAATTCAAAGGTGGAGCTCATGCTGCAATCTTCTTAGTCAAGATAAAAAAAAATGCGTTTGATATACCATATTAACCAATCAGATGCGTTTGATATATCATGTTAACCAATCGGATGCGTTTGATAAATTAAAAGGGGTCTAAATAAAAACATTAGCCTAACAGGTCCATAAATTCTCGGTTCCTACATGCGGGTTTTATTCACTGATCTAATTTAGATAATTGGGTTGTCATGTTCCCAAAATTTAGTTGTTTTGTTAGCACAGCGATGGGTTTCTGCATGCAATGTATTTCTAGGCAATATTAGACTGTCCTTCACACAAATTTCATGGTTTGTTAGCAGAACGATATCAAATTACAGTCTAGGCATACAGAGCCTTCCATTTATATTTCAGCGCTTTCTACTTGAGAACACTGGAACCTAGCCAATATGGGGCGGGCCGAAGGAAGGGCGAGAGCGACAAAAGTAATGGTGGATGATGCACATCTACTCATTGATGACTAGGTTTCGAGTCAGTTACCGATACACCTAAGTAAGAGAGAAATAAATTGCAACAAATGCTTTCATGCTTCACCAGGGGGGCAGGAACCGAACGTCATCAGTAATTAATACAATTTTCACTTCCTTCAGCGCGATATATTTTCATCTTTCTCTATAAGCAAGTGTCAAAACGAAACTGAAATATCACTTTCGTTACAGCTTCATTACATTTGAAGATAGAGACTGCAACAATAACGTGTATAGACCAGCGACGTGCTGGGGTCTTGAAAAGGGCGACGAATGAGCATCGTCTGATAAGGCTCAGGCCCAGTAAACGGATGGATCAATATTGGGGCGGGGTGTATTACTGATCAAACATGAAACATTTCAGTCGCTACTTTTGTCTCCCCAAGTGTTAAAAACCACAAAATTCCATGTTTATTCGATTGTTTTATTTTCTTCCTCACAAACGAAAATTATACAAGTACAAGATAAACTTAAAACTTAAAATATATAAGTATTTTAACGAAAGTTAAAATATGACAAAAAATTTAGACAAAATACGCCTTAAATCACCGGTACCACAAGAGGCGAGTTAAGGTGATTCATGCAGTTAAGTTGAGTCGAAATACTATCTCAGAGTTGGCCTAAAAGATGAGACATTTACGAATTTTGACGTTGAAACAGCCACCATTCCCAATGTTCTTTTCTCTATAAAAACGGACCAACATAGAACGTTGTAAAAAGATTTCACCTCTTGGGACAGACTTTACAAAAGCACCTTTTCCACCTAGAAAAAAAGAAGAAAATATTGATGGTTAAGACCGGCTCTGTAAGGCTGCATGCCAAAAGTAATAATGACGAATATAGATCCACTCAAATACGCATACCTTTCTAATATACGTTCGTCTCTTCACTGCGGACTTTTCTCTATACGGATATCTCTCTAATATGGGCACCGCTCTAATACAGACATACCTTAAATCTAATACGTTCGTCTCATCACTACCGACATCTCTCCAATAGAGACATCTCTCTAATACGGGTACCACTCTAATACAGACACACCTTCCTAATACGTTCGTCTCTTCAGTGCGGACACCTCTCTAATGCCGGCACACATTTCTAACATGTACTCCCTTTTAATGCTGGCACATCTTTGTTATCTAGCCACCTTTCTTATACGGAGACTTCTCCATCTAATACAGACACCTCTCTTATACGAACACATATCTAATGCAGAAACCTTCCTGATTTGGGTATCTCTTAAATATAGATATCTCTATATATTCCTTCCCAAGCAAGGCTTTGCTATGCAAAGATCACAGCTAATGAGTATTTCTCTAATACAGAAATTCTAATACAGAAAGCTCTCTAAGACAGACATCTCTGCATGAAGACACCATATGGTCACTACTCTAAAAAACAAACTTGTGAATCACGGGTCGCCTCTCCTGTGGGGAAATTTCATTTAATGCTGATACTCCGTACCTTGTTTGGTTGTAGCGAACGGATACTGGGCACATATTTTGCCTGCGCATTTAGCGAGACGTGCGTTATTATTTATGGCTCTTCTGTCCGTGATGCGATGTAGACGAGCTGGTTTGCCGCCTTTAATGGCCCGTCGAATGTTCGCACAAACACTTCGCATACGGGTACACGGGAATATGATTGTAGGACAACTTCGTTCGGGCTTTTTTGCTAACAAATAATTAATTAGGAAAAAAACGAATAATTAATTAGGAGGAAAACGAAAAAACCTGAATAATTAAGAGGAAAACAAATAATCAGAATAATTAATGAGGAAATTGAATAATTAATATATTAATATTTAGTAATATTAATATATTATATAATATTAATAAAATTAATAATTAGTGCGAAAGGGGAATGTCTCGTCTTCCCATTTTTCTTTTCGCCTTCGTCCTTAGTTGCGGGCGTCCGGCTGAGGCGTGCGTCTTTATCGGACTTGCAATGCACGCCACTGATCTCTATATTACGGAATTTTTAATTCAATCTATATATAGAAGGGCCTGCGGAGGAGACAGTGAGACTCTGAACATAAATATAACGAGTCACTTAATTATTGCTGATGAGTTGCTTACTATCGACGAACCAGACAGAATAGTGGCAACGGCTCTTCCATTTTGGGGACTAATTCTGCCTGATATTTTCTTGCCGGCCCGTCTGATGTCGTGTTGACAAAACAGACGGAGAAATATATTCTTCTTGGCTTTTAGTTGGCGATTAAAGTTCAAACCACGGCATTTAACACCACCCTTCAAATTAGGAAACTTTCAGTTGGTAAACATTAAATTTCGATGTTCCTCAAACATTATACATAGTTGTCGCAGAAATTTATAGAATTTACTTCCCATCCAAACATAAAGCAAAAACCTTTCCTAAGAACTTAATTTTTTTTTATTTCTCCAAATGTAAAAAGGACAAAACTTATATTTCATTCAACAACTATTCTGTTTCGTTCCTCAGCAAAAGATTATTCTACAAGTACAAGATTAACTTCCTGGAAACATTTGGCACAAGAATGCCACAACTACAGGGGAAAGTGATTGTGGGGCATCTTTGACGTTTTTCAATGAATCTTTTAAGGTAATGAGTCATTGAATTATTTATTGATGAGTTGCTTAAGATCAATTACACAGGGCCTGGTTATCTAATTCACCCAAACCAGACACTCGTAATCCTACAATGGTGTGTCTTTCGCCAAGAAAACGTGACCACAGGTTAGGAAACAATGTTTGATTGATTGATTGATTGATTGATTTTTAATAATTACCACATTGTAAATTCATAAAAATTTAAAAAACGTGATATTACAAAGATAATATTAAAATATTTAAAAATTGTGAAAGGTTCAGTTTAAAACTGCTATAATATAAACAATATTGATGATATGTACTATAAAATATTATGTTATGTCTATGGTCGGTCCCAGTTTCTAACACAGTTTGGGATTGGTCTGCTTCCCTTAAGACAAGAGAACTGTAGTTTCCTAAATGTTACCTAGTTTACCCTGAGCTTTAATTTCAAGAAAAAACAATGAAAATCATTGCTATTCAAGTTTGTACGAAGGATGATACCAACCTCCTACAGTATCTTCTGTCGCGAACGCAACGAACAGAACGACACAAGCGAAAGGCAACAAAACTTTCATTCTTCACAATTTGACGAGGACTCGAAAAAATATCCTGTGAAAAAATGAAAACTTTTTAAAACAATTAAATTCTTAAAATATACCCTCGTAATATAAAATTCACTGAATGAAAATCTTAATGAGTACGACAGACTGACATTTTATTTTTCTATGTATTTAATGAAATTTTATCATCATTAAATACGAATTCTGAGGACGGCTTTGGAATAAACAAGTCTAACAAGTTAACATATTTTATTGATTTTAAAAAACACAATTATAAGTCACAGTTATATCTCGCTTTTGGGTGTGTGAAAGAGATTGATTTGTAGATGGTCAAAAATAAATTGGAATTGAAGGGGACAAAGACCGAGCTACTAGTAATCAATTTACGAAATCGTTTATGCCCTGTTGTAGAATATATAGACCTGCAGTTATCCTGTGAGAACTTTCTAACATCCCTAGGTAAAACTCGTAATGACTAAGGGATCGATGGACCATGCCTTCGCAGTTTGTATTCATGTACTGAAAAGTATTCATATGTGAGTATTCATTGTATTCATATGTGAGATTTCCGTTCTGGAGGACAGAATTATTTTTGCAGATTGCATAATCACAACTTGGTCTGCTCAATCCAAGATTAATGAAAATTAATAATAGGAAAGATTATTATTTAATCGAGGGGTCACATGTTAGCGGCAGCTGCGAATGGTATACGAAATACGTTTAATGAAATACGCACACAAAGGATATGTCTTGGCTGCATATTTAATACTGGTTTATAAAACAAATATAGAACTAAATAACATGTGTTAAATTAAACGGCAAAACCCGGATGACAGTAATCACCCCAGTAAACTAGCTGGGGTGTTCATATGAGAAATTTTTCATCTGAGAAATTGATGAGAGTTGAGAAGCGAAAGTTTGCATGAGAGTTTTCCGTACTCTCGCGTCCGATCAAACGAGAACAATAAATAAAATTCAAACACACTTCGAATATTATTATCTCGTAAACTCGTTTTTTGAACAAGACAACAAATTCAGGGTTGTTTCAACAGCTGAAACAACAAGATGTTACACTAATTTCGTTATCTTATAAACCTATGCTAATTTCCTCGACTGCGTGTTACTGAAAAAATGCTTTTTCATGTACATAAATGAAGAAAGATACTAAAATCGCTATGATGTTTGTGTTGCATTTCATTGTGAATTATGACTGAAATGCATGAGTGAAATGTATACAAGTTTTGCAGGCACCAATTATACAACTTCATCGTAATCTCGGCAAGCGCGATGGAACACTGCATATCGTTGCAGTGTGTTTGCAGATATATCAGTTTCGTGACTCTGAAGTGGTGCTGAAGAAGTTAAAATGATTTACCAATAATGACTTTCGCGTTTCTCTATGACGTTTTAACTCAGCCACTGCAACACAAAGGCCCCACAAACACTTCATTTGGTACTTATCATAATAAGTATGCATGAACGCTTGCCTACCATAAGCCAGTTATCGCTGTGAGAACTTTTCTGACACCCCTGGCTAAAAATCGTATAAAGACTAAGGGAAACTGTACCCTTTTGTTCTACATGAAATTTCCGTTCTTGGGGGCTGGCCTCCCATTCTTTCTACCACAGACTGCGTAATCATAACCTGGTTGGCTGAATGATCATTATCCAAGGGTCACATGTCAACGACAATCTAACACCATGAACTTCAAATGGTTTGCGAAATACGTTTTATGAAATAGGTACACAAACAATATTTTTCAGCCAACGGGCAACAGAGAAAGTCAAGGAAATAGCAGAGGTTTGTAAGATAACGAAATGTAAATCTTGTTGCTTCAGTTATTGAAACAACCTTCAATTTTGTCGGTCTTCTTTCAATATACAGCGCCCCTATGGGCAGCAGCGATTGAGCTGAATGGGCTACCCTGTAGAAATATAGTTTTTCCATTCCATAGCTCAAATCTTGGATTTACAAGACTAATTTATAATATTCGAGGTGCATGTTACATATATTTCGCGAAATTGTCTGCTGGTCAAATGAAGTACGTTTGTAGGTGGAAGGATGTAAATAATCGAGTGGAAATTTATAAACATTTATTAGACCAGCCCATCGAAGAGAAGATGGCTTTTAAACTCATTAGCATAACAATATAACTCATTATCACTCTGCCATGCAACACCATGGAAAATATCGGAAAAGGGAGTCCTCAGTTAAATCATATTGCAGCGCCCATAGAAACAATATAACTATGATAACGAACAATAAGAAACGTGAATACATTGAACAACAATTAAACATAGAACAGAACGATATCTGTTTTTTCAGCAGTTTATATCAGCCATTAGTATAATTACATAGGTGATTATTGAAAATTCTCCACGCTGATTGGTTGCCGTTGAGGTGATTATTACGCGATAATCACCTAAGCGATTTTCAAAATGGCGGCCGAAGCCTTTTTGTCAATTAAATGATGAAGAAATGTGTATTTTCTTATTTTTTTCCCAAATAATCACCTATGAAATTATACTAAAACAATTATTCACCTCAGGCTTGGTGATTATCGTGAATAAAAACCTCGACTTCGTCTCCGTTTTTATTCACCGATGATCACCTCGCCTTCGGCAAATAATTGTTAATTAATACTCTAGCTATAATAAGTTTCCAATATGCAAATATTAACAAATGTAAACAGGGACGCCGGAGAGGCGGGCGCGGGGGGGGGGGGCAAGTACCCCCTTGCCCTTTCCTAAGGGGCGCAAGGGGGGCAAAGGTAGCCTTTTAGCATAAATATTATTGGCGTAAAAGTATGGGGAAATGAGGCCTCACGTCTAGAGTTCGAGTACGCTTCTTATTTTTTACTTTCAATAATTGTTTTTTCTTGTCAAATTTAATATTTTTGGGGTAAATATTATTTTCAGGTTTATACATCAGTTTGATCTAGACAAGGCGCGCGATCAATGACAAGGGTTTGGAGTTACTGTTAGAAGACAAACGCTATATGTTACAGCACATGATACTCTGAAGAACTAAAGCAAATGCTATAGTTTTGAAGGCTGAACGGATTTATTGGACAATGGACGGGAAAATGATTTCTACTCTGTCCTCAGACGTATTTAAGAAAGAGAAACTATCGTTTTTCGTCAGGATATGCACATCTGAATACGAAGTTTCTGACGTCTTTGTGGGAATTTTCTAATGCACTGAAGGTCTATCAACTAACACACTTCTGAAATATGCGAAAGATATTCTCCTCAGATCAATATTGGACAACACCAAAATAGCAGCGATGGGCTTTGACGAAACTTTGGAAATCATCGAAATCCCATTAAAAGGGCGTGGCTACGTATTTTCTATCGACTGCCCTTCATGCTCGCATTGCCCCTCCTGCTCTTTAACGCTCCGGCGTCCTTGATTGTAAATATATCTATATCACCTTTTTAGAACTTTGTAAACATACTGTAATTTAATATTAGAGAAGGTGGGTATTTTTAAGCATAAGTAATAATAATAATAAAATCTGAATACAGCACCTATATACAATCGCAGTTTTTCGACATCTGATTTCTTTCAATGATCGCTGAAATGTCTAGACATTTATGGGTTTCAAGACAGCAAACCAGCTCTGTTAATTCATACACGACAATATACGAACATCAATCCTGAATGATAAACGTACCTGTAAATAGTATATTCTGTAACTGTTGCTCTTGATAAGATCCAGGTAAAGCTCAGAAGTTCTGAAATGCAGGACACCTTCGCCAAGATTTTATAGTCTCACCTGCGACCTTGTTTTTATTTCAATTTAACAGATTATAATCCACATAATCCCACTGCAACCACTTAATCCGCTCTTGAATCCCTTAGTTCTTTTTATATTCAAATACACGTAAAATTTCTTCCGCACGTACGGAAGAAATTTCTTCGCGGTCGGTGGGTGTGGTTCAAAAATGAGACCGACCATGAATCTAGATCGAATTTTAAGTTTCAATCTAACTTATTTTCAGTGTCATTTTAAAGGACTTTTCACTCAAAGCCTGATTCCCGTATGGCCGTTAATGGTCGTAAGAATAGAGTCACGATCTTTCTCGACGGCCAGTTTCATAATACTTTATACAAGTAAACCACATCTACCTGTATAAATCATGTGTATTCTCTAGTTGTAATCACTCCGCGTATTTTCAGTTCTAAAATGTTGTAGTTTGGCTGATGAGAAAGATCGTGACTCAAGCTTTACGACCGTTACGACCATATGGAAACCAGGCTTAAGGGGCAAATCAGTGACGAAGCTAGCTTTGGCAACTCGTCATTTTATGCTACACAACGTTTGCCTAAAATTGATTGCCGTATGCGAGATGCGACCTGCTTACAACTTGAGTTGCACTGTGTAAATCTAGCACTCGACTTGCCTATACGTTGTCGTGTAGTGGAAATTGGCCTTATCAAAGCTGCCCGCTAAGCGAGGCAACATAGTAAGCGAGATTCCAGTGTGTAATAATTTTTATAGTAAAAGTACCGTGCGTTTATATGGATCGACAAGCGGGATGGCCAGATGTGATCTCGCTTATCAGGGTGAAAATTTCTCCACATATGGGCTGGTCCTTTTGCCGGGAAGAAACTTCAACGATTCTGGCGCGCCCAAGCTATTTTTAAACTGTTTCTGTCAAGACAATATCAAAATAAACAATGTCAAAACAATGTCCCGGCAGGCGCGATAATTTTTTTTCATTTCCAAGACTACGGCTACGTTTACATTGTATGTCGGATAGCAACGTAAAAAACACCTTTAGAAACGCTATTTTCAGACGAATTATTGCAACGGAGAGATCATTTTTAGCTCAGCTTCTGAAAATTGTACAGTCCATATCGAATAGCTGCTTTTTCATGCCGCTACGGAAAGCTACGTGGCATAGTGTAAACGTAGCCTAGCTAGGTGCACGCTGTGCTTGAGCGGTTTGAATACGGCGGAGAGGGAAAACTCACAAATTAGCTGTCGTGTTCACGCTACGCTGGAGCACAGATGAGGCTGGAGGGAAATTGTTTGAAAACATCACTTTTAATTTGCCGTATCAAATTTCAGCACGGTTTCGAAACGGAACGAGATCAAAACGGAGCGTTTGGCGGCTCACGTGAACAGAAACGCCGTTACTTTTTTGTACGGCTTGCAAACCAAGCATATCAGGTCTCAAAAACAGTTTTATTTAATTTAATTTTTATGCTCATTTTGAAATATTTTGGGTTTACATGAATGCTAATTCAATTTGTAAACAAAATAGGAGTTTTCTCTCTACAATTTCTGAAGGTTTGAACAATGCCAATCATTAAAAATTTGAATAGCATGACTGGTCAGCCATCCTGATAGCATGACAGGACATAGCTAACTAGCCACTGGAACGAAAAGGCAAAACATTTTACATTATCTTCCAAATAGGAATTAAAAAGTAGGGCTTTAAAGGCGTTACCAAAGGAACGAGATATATTGTTGTGCATGTGATATTATGTTTTAGTTGGGCACCCTGTATGTCAAACAGAGAAAACGTTGAAAATTTGAAGTCAGAGGTACGCCATTATATACAGTATATAAACTGTTTAAAGAAGCTGTTTTAAATTACCAAGAGCAGAAAATCGTGCGCTTTACAAAAATATTTTAATTTCTTAATAAATCAATATTTAGAATTATAATTATTATATGCACTCGGTCAATATTTACGCCTCCTTGCGTTCAGCTTAGTGCTAGAGCATTCAAATTCTAACAATACGTTATTTAAATCGGTTATTTTTTGTTTTTTTGGACACCGTGTAGAGATTCAAATTTGACTTCCATAGTTCCACTACCGCACTAGCTGCATTAAGCAATCAGATGCCTTTGCCACAGCTAATTCATGAAATGTTGTCTTCGGCAAATCTTAAACTCTGAATCTTAAACCTTAAACTCTAAGCGTGCAAAGCATAGTGGAAGCATCATTCAATCAGTTTAGAAATGATATATGGGGCGCTTTTCTTAGAAACGTGGTAATATCTCCTTACTAGAGCAATTCCTTTACAAAGAGCTGTAATATTTAACTGCTGAATTAGCTTCAAACTTGTGCTCCCATTAAGCCTTTTGCACTCAGAGTTTAATGTTTAATGTGTAGATTTAAGAAGGACAACCTTTTTTTAGTTAGCTGTATATCCAAGTAACCAAGGTATTTGTAGAAGTAGCGGTAATGGCTGTAAAATTGAATTTTTCTAATTTCTGTTCTTCAAGTGGTTGAAAGCAATGGTCGAGGCTACATTTTCAGAAGCAGAATCATTGTGAATGTGAAGCAAGTCCGACTCCTGAGAGAGGTAGGGGGCAATTGCACACGTAGTTACAGCAAATCACATTGGAAAGCCGATTCATTTTAATTTAGCAAATTATAATCTATATAATCCCACTCTAATTACTTAATTCCTCAGTTGTTTTTTTTATATTCAAAAACCCGTAACAATTTCTTCCGCGCTGGCGGAAGAAATTTCTACGCTATGAGTGGGTGTGGGTGTGATCCAAAAATGAGACCGACCATGAAACTAATTACCGATAACCAGTTATCTAGTTGTTAGATTTCATTCGACTTACTGAGAATTAGGTATATATATATATATATATATATATATATATATATATATATATATATATATATATATATATATATATATATATATAATTTCGCTTACCTCAAAATTCCGCAACAGTCTGTTTCATCAGTAAAGAATCTTCAGGCAGTATGACCTATATATCGCAGTTTGAGCGCTCTGGCATGGTTTTGATGTCCCACAATCGAGAGGCATCAAAGGTAACTGTAAAATAGCAGTTACTTTCATCCTGCTTATCAGCACTACACTGATGAGGCCCATAAGGCCGAAACGGTACCGTCTATAAATATATATATATATATATATATATATATATATATATATATATATATATATATATATATATATATATATATATATATATATATATATATATGTATATATATTTATTATATACATGACAAAATTACTGCAATCTGATTGGTTAAGAGGAGTGCAATTATTTCATTAATTGCACTCTCCAGGAGTGCAATTAATGATTTTCGTGATGGCTGGGGGGAGCGGGAAATCAAAACAACAAAATCCAATATGGCGGCGAAATTTAGCTCATTATTTCTAACAAATGTGGACGAATTTAACTGAATTTTGGCACAAGAATGAGTTTAAGAAACATTGTATGGCAAAAAGAGCCTGTGGAAAATACCTGGAAACATTTTTAAGAAATAATCTTGGCGGAATACAGCGAAACGTGACTATATAAGTTTGAATTACTTTGAAATACAATTTATAAAGATTTTCTTAAACTAAAATATGTTGTTTGAATTTGAATCTTGTGTTCTAGTTTAAGTTATGTGCCTTTGTGAGTTTATAATCATTTTCCAAGTTTGTTTATACTAAATTGCTTACAAAGGAATTAAAAACTCTTGACAAAATGCAGTTGAAATATAAAGAAAGCGATTTTGTCATGCATATAATAAATAAATAATCACACGGGCAAGTCGTGCAATTAATGATTAACACTACTCGTGATATTTGAAAAATGTGCCAAATTGCACTCGCCTCGGCGGCTCTTGCAATTTTGGCACATTTTTCAAATATCACTCGTAGTGTTAATCATTAATTGCACTGCTTCCCGTGTGATTACCTATACATATATATATATATATATATATATATATATATATATATATATATATATATATATATATATATATATATATATATATATATATATTTAATTATTTTAATCTATTAACATTATATAGTATTTTAATCTACAGGACAATAAATCAATTGCATGTTTTGCATATTTTTATATACATTAGCATTTTTATTGTAAATTTAGTATTTTAATTAGTTTCATATAAATAGGAGGAAGTATTATTGTAAAAAACATTCCACTGAAGAAGCCGTAAAAGGCGAAACGTTTGGAAAATATACTTTGTATATATATATGTCTGAAGAAATCTTACCCTTTAATGCACGAGGCACTTCCTATGCATTAAATTTAATGAAAATTGGTGAAAATGCTACATTAGCAACTAGTTTTCGATTAGTAAAATTTTTTTTGAAAAAACAGCTATCCAGGGGGGGTGGGGAATTTTGTCCAGTATACTGGACAACGTGCATATTAGGAAAGAAATTGTCAAAAACCATTGAACAAATATATAAAAGAATTTAATTACAGAGTAAAACTTTTTGCTGTATCAAGTACACTAACTACCAACCTACAACCCATATAATTTACTTTCCATGAAAATTTAAGAAACAAGTGCTCTTAGTGACACATAAGTACACATTGCACTTGCTGGACATAAACATTGTTTTTTTCTTGCAACCGTCCATTTTGCATCTCTGCATGTGCATTGGGCATGTCTAGGAGAATTGGCCAATGGTCATATTTATCATATCTTATAGCTTCTGGGATATTTGATGCCTTCATTCTCTTCTTTGGTGGTGGCGGTGGTTCAGGCTGATCTTCGTCCGAGTCGTCGCTCTGTGGCTTTCCGACCATGAGGGTGACACAAATTTCAGTGAGGAAATCCAAGTAGCTTTTTAATCCTCCCATCTCCTTGTATATGATCCACGCATTCACTGCACATTGGCTTATCAGGTGCAATCCAATTCGCTGATACCACTTTCGAGACCTATATTTTGTGCGATACAGGGCCAACATCATGTCGGTCTTGTCAACACCACCCATGTAGTTGTTATACAACTCAACTGAAGCAGGTCGTTCAACACTTGCAGTGGCCTTCTCCTTGCGGATGTACCGGGTACATTCTCCAACTGGTTCTTTTCCAATAAAATTGGATATCATCAGGACTCTTCTGCTGTCGTACCATGATGTTACGATAACCGATCTTTCTCTATTTACATTTTGTGCTGAAGAACCTCTGCCACTCTTCTTCAACTCGCTTTCACTAGGTAAAGGACATTTCCTGGACCTATTGGCATTCAATGTTGCCAAAGCCCAAAAACCTTTCCTAGCTAAATATTCCATTAGTTCTGGGCTTGAAAAGAAGTTGTCAAAGAAAAGTTTGTGCTTATCTTCTTCAAGCTTCTCAATCAAGCGCAAGACAACAAATCCACTTTCGCCGCACTTTTCTGGTGCATTCCACCCATCTGGAAGACCAGTTTTCCCTTTCTCTCCATCCACTTCAAAAGTATAGACATACCCAGAAACACCAGCAATGGCCCATAGCTTATAGCCCCACTTTTTTGGTTTCTTTGGGAGATAACGCTTCAGACAACTGGCGCCTTTGAATGGGACTAATTGCTCATCGACAGCAACATAGGTTTCTGGGATGACAGCTTCAAAGAACTTTTCTCTGATGTAGTCAACAAGTGGCTGAATCTTATAACACTTGTTGTAATCTTCACTTTTACTGGCAGGGATCAAATTGTTGTCATTATAATGAAGTAGCTGCATGATCTTGGCAAATCGATTTACTCCCATCGTGTTCGCAATAATCTCAACTCTAGTGTTGTTTTGCCAATACATTCGTCTATTTGGCAACTTCAGAATACCCATATACAGAACAATTCCAAATGCTTTCTTAATATCTTCAACCGTGATTTCATCCACCTCTTTGGCATTGCTCTTGTTTATTGACAGAGATGTTGCGTATAGTTGAGTTTGTTCCAGGATCATGTCCAACAATTCACTTGTAACAAACAAATTGAAAAACTCAATTGGTGAGCTATTCTTTGAAAGACTATCTTCCAAATCTGGATTAAGCTTTAGTTTCCTTTCATCAATTTTTGATTTGGTTGGAATTTTCCAGGTTTGCTTTCCCTTCAACAGCCATTCGTACTCTTCTACACGACTAGATGATGGTGCTTGATCCAGAACCTCTTCCTCATCACTCTCACTTTCTATGATAAGTAAATATAAAAAATATATACTCAATATTGAATGTTTAATATGTCTAACTTAGCTAGGTGATGATAATAATATTCTAACATTTGGTAGGCTTACCCGAAGAAGATTCTGTGGTGTCCTCCCCAGACTCAATATCAAATGCCTCTTCATCACTTCCTTCTGATGAAGCTTCACTAACATCTGCAGTTGGCAAAGATATAATATTTGCAGGAGGTCTTCGAATCCCATAAAATGATCTAAATAATGTATACAAACAAACTAAGAAAACGTAATACTGTTCTTTTCTTCAACAAAAATAATCAGGTTATTAGCAGTTATCATATTACACAACATATTGATTCCATAAATGCACGAAGTCCAGTACACTGGACAACCACAAAATACGAATATTTTTCGTAAAATATAAAAGATTGGCAAATAAAAATAACTTATAATCCTTATATAAACCCTCTACTATGTATAGGAATAATTGTTATCATATCTCCATACTTATTATTGCCTTGATAAACGTTCAAATTCAAAAAACTCACCTCGTACTGATGGTCGCTCTTGACGCCATCTTGAATGCCACCGAATAAAAGATGACTCAGCATGTTATGGTTCCACTCAAGCGTGACATCCCCACGCGTGTATAAAAAACACGAATCGCGAAATTCCACATTTCTAAGTTGCGCAACACATCAAAACGAGATGTCCAGTGTACTGGACGTCGTGCACTAAAGGGTTATAGCCAAGTTCATACATGCACTATCCAGACATGGTACCTCACACCAATAAGCTGAATAATTCTTTTTCCAGAACTGGCCCAAAAATATGGAATAGCATTCCATGTGACTTACGTAATTTTGAGATGAATAAATTTAAGAAAACATTACATAAAGTATTATTTTCTATATTTGCAAATGAGGAAGATTATGTTGATAATATAACAATTAGATAAATTCAGCTAAATTCTTCTAAGATAAAATATTATTATTGCATATATTTTGAAACTTATATGTCATTTTATATGTTAATTAAACTTGTATGTCATTTTTATATTTTGAAACTTATATGCCATCTCTATAATTAACTCGTAGTATAGTCTTCCAGTTGTCTGCCTCGAATAGCTTTCGCTACCTGCAGACAACTGTTAAATTTTTGTGTATTTTTTCTTTTGATTACAATTACTGTTACAATGAGGAGGACCGCGGCGTGATTTTTTCATTATTGATACTGTTTGCATTATTTGACACTGATTTTCGCGAAATATATCAATTGTTACGATTGATGGTGTTAATGTGTTATCAAACTTTGTTACAAGGTTGTTTTGTTATTCAAATCTCATACAGACACAGTCATGATATAAAAATATGTTACGATACAAGGTTGTGACAGTATCAGCTATATCATGACTGTAGAAGACTTCAGGTTGGAACAACCTTAATTGCAACAAGTCCGATATAAATATCAACAAAGTTGTTACAAGTTGTTAACAAGTTCTTCCAAACTTGTTAACAACTTCGCTTAGGACAAGTAATGGGAACACAACTTGTTACGTGGACGACTTGTTGGCAGACTCGCTACAAGATGTGAGATTTTTGCGTGTTTGTTTTCAAAAAATTAATTAAAACAAGCAAGCAACCGAAAATAACTTGGACCGCTGCAACCACGACAAAATTAACTGGACATCTAATAACGGCCGAATATTTATAGCACCATTGCAATTTTTCCTTTAAACAATATGGCGGACAAGGAAGCAGCACTGATATACACTAAGACTGGATAGAGCATCCGGTGTTCAGAGTGAAGACGGAATTGATGTGACGGCTAGTGACGGCCGTCGTTTCAAACGCTTATTTTCTTCTCTTGGACCGAAACAAACCTTGTTTCAGGAAAGGAATAAATAACATCATGAATGCCTCAAGAAGTAAATTTGATGTTTTTAACCCTGGAATCCCACAGGAAACAGAAATTTTGCGTCGTAATAATGAGTGAAACTGTGCGAGGACTGAGGATGTGAACGCCAGACTCGTCAATGGAGGCCAAAATGACAAGGATTAGATCATATTAGGAATACTGATTCAAAGTACAAAGCAGCTTGACCAACTAAACAAATTTGTTAACGGCGATATTTACTGCTGTATTAAAATAGGTAAGTTTTGCATTAACACGGCCTTTTTATGGCTTGTCAAAACTTAAATCGTGATTCATTTAGTGCTTGTTTATTACTAGAGTTTGAGTTATATGAAACTTTATCAATTTGTGTATGGCACTGCAGACGATAACTGAAATTTTTTTTGACTCCCTCACATTTGATACATTTGAACTAAATGGATCACCCCATGTGGTCATCAAGTTCTGTGAACAATGAAGGCACATTAGATTACCCTGATATTTTAATTGCAGCAGTTGGGAAGACAGAATGCTGACGTCCTAACAGTCAAGAACATTGCAGCACTCATGGCAGAAGATTTCCTTGTGGACTGTTTTGGCAGTCGATGCTCTAATGTAATAGTTGCATGGAAGCTTATTTGTATTCAAAGATATTGTATTCAGAGATGCTTTGAGAAATAAACCTGTGAATAGTAATACTGGTCAAATTAAAGCTGCCAAATTTAATTACCATCTTATTTGCTTATTGTTTTGACTACCGACTACCTACTATATGGAATGTTCATGCAAATTTACATTTGTTCATTCATTCCTGAACATATACTCCCTTCACTATTATCTCTTTAGGTCTCATCTCCCAATGTACCTGTTTAGTAATTTTATCACAAATACTTCCTTGGCCTGAAAGTATTCAATCTCATGAAACAAGGCAGAAGGTTACTTGCCAGGGATGGATCCAGCATGATCTGGTAGGGGGGGGGGGATGCTCTTCCAGCTCTGGTGCCGAGTTGTGTCGGTCATGTGTGCCGCCCACCCATCAACGTGCTTCACTATTGCAGAGTCTATCTTGACTACTGTATTTGAATTGTAATTGTGGTTCACAGTTCGCTTATCATCATGTTAGTACTATAATTACTGTATCTAATTTTGTCTCTAATGCTATTTTGCTTTATCATGAAAAATAGCACCCCTTCTGGCCAGGGCTAGGGGGTGCACACCCCCAGTAAATCCATCTCTGCTATTGGCTATTAACTGCTAAACATTCACAAGAACAAGGCTTCTGGGTCAATCAGGATTTTGAGACATGATTTATTTTCTTCATTTTGACCAGCTAAATCCACAACACTCTGAATCTACGATATTTCTCCATTATTGAAATGGTAGAAATACAGATTAAAAATACAGTTAGTATTGACAACAACACAAGTTGATAAAGATATTTAATGTAATATAAACTAACACAACAACTAATAATAACTTACTGACCGAGAGTGAGGGCAGTACGGGAAAATATCCAACCGAAATACAGTCTTGCTGTATTGACCGAGTGATAGCGAGGTCAATACAGCAAGACCGAGGTTGGATATTTTCCCGTACTGCCCGAACGGTTGAGGTCAGTAAGTTTTTTATTATATGGCATTGTACGTTTGTAAAAAATGGAAGAAAAGTTCACGCGAGGGCAAAGTACAAAGTCCGAAACAGTTTTTAGTTAGTAAAACTGCTCTACAGTACTTTTTATATAGAATACTACTACAGTTTGGATAGTATTTCAAGAAAAATACCAGGCATTTCGTCATTTAATCAAAGAAAACAAATATGAAAACAATAAAAATCAATAAAATTGCAAAAACAAGTACGTTTTTGGTTCCTTCGTCTCAAATTTATGTCTCTTTTTATCTAACAAAAACAGAAATTTTCAAGGGAAAAATTATAAATCTGTGGCTGTTTTAGTTGTATTTTTCATTTAGGATGATGTCAAATTCCTCCTGGCTATCTGCAGATAAAATTTGCAGCTCTTCGTATTGTCAAAACACAACTATTCCTGACTGCTTTTATAGTTATAAACTTTCTAAAATTTACCTTGTAATTTTGACTTTCGCTAACAAAAACGTATGGAGAAAGTTCTTTAACCACAGCAGTTGCTGCTCTTTTTATTTTAGGTTTATTTTTCTTCGTTTTGAATAGTTTTGAAAGACTTTTAGACACTTTTTGCTGTTTGAAACACGGCCCTCGTCGCAGGGCAATAAAAATTACGTATTGGCCGTGGGCAATACGTGAAAATCCTGCCTCGTCAGCAGCCAATCAAATTGCGCGATTCATCAAAACAAATGCTTGCCATATAATAAAGGTGCATATTGACTGTTGAACTCTTGATGATCCACTGATGGGAAAAACTTCATAGTATTTACAATCTTGTGTTGAATTTATACAGTCTTCAGTACAACTGAAATACAATATACAAAAATTATAGTGAATATTTTCAAACCAATTTCAGGGCTTTGGCCACAATATAAATACATTGTACACATTTCACTTCATCAGACAATATCAATGACATGGCTTTCTGTCTGTTTCGTTTCATCCTACAACTCAGCCACCCTGCATGAAACCTCCAAACCGAATTAGATTGGCCTGAGTGCGCATTTACTCCACGCCAGATATATCTGGAGTGAGGTTACAAATTTGCTGGTGTATTGGTGTGTGAGATCACTAAAAAAAAAGTGATAAGTGTAACCATAGTTAATAGAGGACAGAGTTTGGAAGGCCGGCAAACTTCAAAGGCTTTCGAGCAAATTGATTTCAGATGTTGGAAAGGTACGTCCCGTGACATTTCGGGTGCATCAAATTCAGAAATTACTATAGCGTAGTATTACAGAAATATGATATTGTGCTTATAAATTTTAAAATAAGGCATTGTTGTTCTTGTTATGGCTTCGACAAGTTCGACATACGATTCAGAAAGCAAAATTCACCCAATTCTGGGTGCTGGAGACGCAGATACAACGACGGAGGCGATTTTCATCAAACTATTTAGCTGCTGCAAATCAACGCGGATGAATTAACTGAAGAAATATCGCGTTCAGTTGAAGAAGTAAGTCCTTTATACTGTGTCCAATTAAACAATATGCAGTGAGGTGCCTTAGACTTAATATTTGACTTATATTTGTCGTTTAGATTGAAGGATTAAAGCAATTCCCGTGCGAATATCGACGCAGTATTACAAGCACTCGACAAATTCTACAGCTAGTACTTCCAAAGGGAAAATAAAAACCCATGTTATATGACTTATCACGCATATGAGAAGGCATTGTCGATCATTCGAGAGGTAGGGAAAAGGAAAGAATATTTTCATCCATGCAGAGAAGATAAAGTCGTGCTTTTGATGCTGGTGAATATGCCCGAACGGTTGACTTTCCTATTACCAGCAGATATTCTAAAGTTATTATAAACACTGAAGAAACTGCATGCTTTAATACCAGTAAATATCTTAATACTGTATATACTGTATATAGACAATATACTGTAACCTAGATATGAATGTCTTAAATAGTAGGCCCTAAGGCTTATGTCCTATTGTCAATTACAAGTCCAGATATTGACCAATATACAGTGATTCAATGTCTACTAACATGTGATTTGTTACTTTTGATCATTCTGTCACATCAAAATAGAATGTTATTCCAA